ATTTTTTTTACCTCTTGTTGCTGTGAAGAACTTTCGCTAATGATTCCATAAGTTGTTGCTATTACAACAAAAGAGTTAATATTGGTAAAATCATTAAAGGAAGAAACCAATATAACCGAAGCTGAATATTTGGCAATCAGTTGAATGAAATTTTTTTTATTAGATTTTTTAGACATTTTAGACAGCATAACAAAGATCATGAAAATAGAAAAAGAGTATGCTCAAGCATAAAGGTTAGACCTGTTCAAAAAAGCCCTACCAGATTAATTGTCGGTTAGACTTCTTGGTTATTCAGGTATATCCAGGTTATCTGAATTATTTGGGTAAATAAATAAGATCACGAGTTGGGATTACTGTTATGTAAAGATGCGAACTATTTGTCGATTCTAACAGTTTTTGGCCTGTATTACAGTTAATTTGGGCTGAAAACTGTTAGAATTAGCAAATAGTTCACATCTCTACTATTATGCAATTAATCAATGAATTTACAGAAGTTGTAGTATAAAAATTCGGAAACACTTCTTGAAAAGCATACGCCAAGTTGGTGGTGCATTGATCATCCAAAATAATTTATACAATTATAATTTTATTTTCAAAGGTATTGTTGCTCGGTAATTACCTACCCGAATAGGTTTACCTGGGTAACAAATATTTTAACTAGATATCTATTATATCCACGAGTTACTCAGGTAGCCTTTATTCAGGTCCAACCCTTATTCAAGCATTTAATTCTATAAATACCACTATTGATTGTGATGCTTGAGCGTCATTACAATCATTCTTTAATCAACTGATTTAGATACTTGAGAACTGAGTTTACATTGGGGTTATTATAAAAAAATTATATTTCAGAATTTACTTATCACTCCAATTATATACTGTTTGGTTAAAATTGAATTAGTTTACACATATCTTGTAATACAGTAAAAAAAAATTTAGCTACAGAACTTACACATTATTCCGGAAGCATAGTATGTAGTTAATGTTGAGTTAGTTTACATTAAAATTTCGTTACAGAAATAACTTGCCATTTATATACAGTATATAGTTGAGGTTTGTTTGTATTAGAAAAATCATAATTTTCATGAGTTGCTAAAAAAATTCTGCTACAGAACTTACTTACTATTCCAATATAAGGTTTGTATTAGAATTACTCATAATTTGTTATAAAAAGATTCAGCTCCAAAATTACACAACATTCTAGTGATATATATCTTGAGGTTAAAGTTGAATTAGTTTGCAATAGAACTACTATAATTTACTATAAAAAAATTATACAAAACTTGCTCTTGTAATAACAAACAGTATGTGGTAAAGGTTGGATGAGAATTATCAAAAACTAAGTAGAATTAAACATTTTTGAATATTAATAAGTAAAAGTAATTTATAAAATCAAAAAAAATAAATAAAAGTATCGAGGTTGCTTTAAAAAAATCTTCATTTAGTGATAGTAGATATGTAATTGTTGCTCCTGTAATTTTCTAATTCTGTAATTAAGTCATTGTTTAATGTTACGTATAAAATTAAAAATTATGTATATACAGGCAACAATTACAGATCTATTGCTAAACAAGGATTTTCTAAGACAATTCTACTTATCATTATTAATGTTCAAAATACTTAGTCAACTCAACCTTTACTACATGCTATTCATTATCGCAATAGTAAGTTTTGTATAATTTTTCTACAGTAATTTATAATTTTTCTAATCCAAACATAATCTCTATGTAATGAAAATTTTTACAGTAATACATACAATAGTTCTAATGCAAACTACTATAATTTAACCTTACCAGAATAGATTTGATTAATTGAATAATATGTGGTAAGTATAAGGTATTGTTCGATAAGTATAAGTTTAATTAATTAAGAAGTAACAATAGATAGTTTGTAAATATGATGTATTGTACAATGAGTATCAAGTGATGGTAATTATAAGGTCATAGAAAATAGCTATTTAAATAAGAAGAATTAGAAATTCATTCTTTCTCTTTTGTCTTTGCTGCTAGCTCGATACAAGTCTAGCTTTGTCGATTCCCACCCACCCTCCATGGGTGTGAATGGTTAGAGTGTGAAAGGTGGTTGGGTTTTATTGGTGGTTAATAGCCCAGGTAAACAGCCTGGATATCAGAGACTAGTATTTGCTAGCCTGACTATACAGATCAGATATCAAAAAAGGAGAGAAATTAGTGTAGAATTGGTGAATGATGCTAGGAAAGAGCTGTAGACTATATGGGCAGTGAGGCAAAATCTCATATGGTGTTTTTTATAGTTAAGTGGTGATACCAGATAATTGAGTGACAAAATCCATATCTTATTATTAATATATATCATATTTGATATAATGAGGGTTTCAAAATTAATTTTATTTATTTTTCTAATTTATAATTCAGCATAGTAAAAAAATACTTCTAATTTTAAAACTCCAATATACCAATAAATATTTGTATAGTTTTAATTTAAGTCTGAATACTTAGAAATCACAAAACTAACACTTGTGAAATAGCTTTTATTAGAATTTTGTGAAATTTCTACATTTTGCTAGGTTGATGTTTAGTCAAATTTAAGTTGTCTTTTGCTATTTATAGAAAAAAATTTTTAATCTCTATAAACTTAGTTGATGTAAATTTTGACCTTTATAGATGTAAACCAATAAGGATTAAGTGTTGAATAATGAGGTTATTTTATAGTAATTATGTTGTAATTAGCAATGGAAATTTCTAATTGTTAACTATATAAATCAATTTAATTGTTAAAATGATTTATATATATAAATTATTTTAACAATTTAATTGTTGCCGGTGCTAAAATTAACATTGGCCTACCGCTTGTACTAATAAAGTGCCAGGGGCCTAAGTGGTCACCTTAATATTTAAAAAAAAACAAAAAAACAATTTAATTGTTAATATAGTTTATATAGTTAACAATTAGAAATTCACATCACTAGTTGTAATCAGCATTTTGAAACGAAGAGTACATTAATATAATTCTGATATAAATTTTTAATTTAAATACTGTAATATTAAATAGTATTACAAAGTACCAATTATTTTAATAAATATTTTTATTTTTCTTTTTATTTAATACAAAATTTATCTACTAATTTAGAAACTGCCTGCAAATAAACTTGCAACTCATTATTATACAAGAACTATTATAGGTCGAATGAAGGCAAATCGGGCTCTAACTGGCATCATATAATTCCAATATGAACCTGATTTGAAATAGATATTAGGAGACCTTTAGAATACAGATCAGGTTTATACTATATAGATATTCTATACATATTGAAATACTATTAGCTCTATAGGGTCCGATTTGCCTTCATTCGACCTATGTATACCACCCTATAATCAACTAAAATATATGATAATCTAATAAGAGAATTAGCCTGATTCGAGTCCACTGCTAAGTTTTCAGTCTGCATTTTAATAAAAAAATTTACAAAAGAGAAGAGATTATTAATCCTTATTTGAAAAAAATTAAACACAGTATAAAATCTTGTACTTTTATTTATCGCAGATTCTCGAAAAAGCAGACAGGAGCGTTATTTCGAAAATTGTGCCCCTAAAAATAGCATAGGTGGTTTTGAAATAACACCCATGCGTGTCCCAAAATAACGCGTATCCCACCATATACATTGAATATCACGTTATATGTATAGTTTAATACCGGTAATACAGTAATAAAAATGTCTTAGTTTTCACCTTTTCTAGAATTTATGTGTTTTAGCTTTACTTTTTTATATTAAGCTTACCAGTAATTCATGTAATTCTGTCTAGAACATGCAATGCTTTCTTCATGTTAATAATATCTTTTTCGATCTAATTCAAGATGCTTTATGTTATAATTTGAAACATCTAAGCATTTTAAAATGTTTCATAGTAAGCCGTCTGATATGAAAGTATCAAGCAAGAATGAATATACATGGTAGTAAAAAGAGTTATAACAAAATGTAGAGTGCAAAGCAAAAGCCAACTTTATTTATTTTAGAAGAGATTATAACTATTTTTTTTTCATAGACCATTGAATTCAGATTTGAAAAAACTACAACCGCTTTTTTTTCACCTATACTATCTGACAAAACAACAGGTCAATTAGAAATAAGGATATTAATAATTGCATGAAAACGGTCCAACTTAGAAGTTCTGCATATGAAGATACAATTGAATAGATTCTGTTAATAGAGGATTTATTTAGCAATGGTATATGAAAAGTTGATAAATAAAGTTGATGATGACAACTATTTTCACAAAAAAATCGCGTGAATCAAATAGCATTGTTGTACTCAAAACATTGGCTAGCTCTAATGAAAACAATAATTTTTTAAAAGAAGTAAGTTAGTTTATTGCTTTGAATTTATCTAATAGTTTATTGAACTAATTCATTGCTTAAACTTTAAGTTTAAAAGTTTTATGAAATGTAAATTAAATCATAATAAGCTTACAATATATGGAATAACCCAGTATGCTGACAATGGAAATCTTCATAAATATTTGACAAAAAATTTATATGGCACAATTACTTAAAGATATTGCGAATAAGCTAGATAGTATTCATGATTGTGCAGGTTATATCTACAATAGAAGTTCTAAGACGAAAATATCAGATAAAAGCAAATAATTTTGCAATAATTTATTGTAGAAAATTTTTCATCGAATTGGACAACAGGATTTTGAGTGACTTTTCACTTATTACTTCACCCATTTGCAAATTATGATGTTCTTATTTACGTATTTTTTTTTTCCATTTCACTAACAAATTTATTTAAGTTTAGGAAATATCATCAGTTTAATAACAATTATTTGATAATGGGTTTTATACTTACTGCTTAGCACTAACGAATAACCATTAGCGATAGAGTCCTAATAGTTTGATTTATATGCAGATGAAAAGAGAAGTAATATTATAAATCCTATTAATGTATAGATACTTACTGTAGTACTCATTATCTGTCATGTAATCATCTGGCATAAATTCATTCATTATATCCTCACTATTCACTAAATTTTCATTATACACCATATTATCGTTTATATTATCTATATCTATATTATCAATATCTACATCACTCACATTTATTATATTTTCATTATTTTCATTTTTTTCTTCATTGTCTTTATCTTCTAAACACACACTCTTTTCATTTAATAATTCATCCCTATCAATATCACTCATATGATTTTCAATGATTGCCTAGAGGCGGTATGACATCTTGTGATCTTTGCTGCCATCAGAGTTCAAAGTAAGACCAGTTGATTCAAAAGACTTAACCAAGACATTTTTACTGATTTTCTTCTACGTTTGAGATACTCATTTACAAACAAGCTCATACGAGACCTTTTTACGATTTCCTTTTGCAGTAAATTCTTTTTTTCCCTTTTCCATCCATTCCTCCCACCTTTGTCTCATTCCACTTTTGAAAGGTTTGTTTACTAAAACATTAGGTGGCTGCAAAACACTAGTTGTTCCTCCGGGTATTTCTAAAACGTCTAAACCTTCGTTATTTAATACTCTAACCACATTATCACGGATGTGACTACGATGACGGTCGACAAAAACTACACCCTGATTTTTAAAAAATCTATTGGGCCTTACTCAAATAACTTGTGAGATGTATGTAGAAATCATTAAATCTTCTAACATATTGGCATGAGATGCTGTTGTTACTACGACATCTCAGGAAAACTGGCCTCTGGGCTTCTTTTTAAATTTAAAAATTATGGCAAGTGGGAGTTTGTCTTCTGAAGCTGTATAACCCAAAACTACAGTAAATCGCAATTTATCACTTTCTATAGTTTTAATTGGAACTTTGCGGGTATCTTGAAATTCAAGTGTCGAACCACAGGGTATATTGAACCATATCGGGGTTTCGTTAAAAGAAATTATGAATTTTTTTTCTATATTCATGGTCTTTTCACGCGCCTTTTTAAGGAAGTCCCTAACAACTAAGAGCATATCCTCAGAAAACTTCTGTGCAACTTGTGTGCAAACACGTTTTACCAGATTGTGCCGATTCTTAAAATATACGACCCAACCACGCGAAAACTGTGCATTTTCAATACCAAGCGCTTCTCCTAACTCTTTGGCTTTTCTTCTAACTATGAGCATCGTAACTGCCATATTTTCCTCACATTTTTTTTTTATATAATCTAATAGCTCTTTTTCTAATGCAAAGTATATAGCTTTTCGTCTATGCTCTTCGAGGACTCACACTTGACCTTTGTTTTTTATAGCCTTGAGCTCCGTTTTTTTCTTTCTGCATTCTTGAACCCTTTTTTGGTCGACATTGTAAAAGTGTGACACATGGCAATTAGAGGTGTCTTCTGCATACGCTATAACCTCAAGCTTAAACGTGACAGTAAAACTTCTATTTTTGCGAACTAAATATTCCATGTTTATTTGTAAGTAAAGCAGGGAATTTATTCACGAAACACATATTTTATACATATAAAGATTTGTGTTACTAAATAAAAAAAAGTTCTATACATTAATTTAATTAAGCCATAGTGGCCCAGATCAATTTCATTAGAATATATCGGAATATAATTTTTTTTTTTTTTTTTAAATATAAAGTGCAAGTATTTATTGAAATCAGATAACCTGTTACAACCTTATAACTTGTTATGACATAAAATTTACTATTACATTATGTCCAAGCAAATGTTTAATTTTTGATAAATTAGTGTAAAATGTAAATGAAACCAGTAAATATTTTATTTGAATAGAATTGGAACCAAAAATTAGAATTTGGCAAATTAATTTTTTTTTGTTTCTTTTTTATATACATCATGAAAAATGATTTAACTATTTATTTTTGTATATCTTAGACACCAACATTCTTTAAATGGAAAAACACAAGATAGAAAATGCTTAACTATATTGTGTTGAGCTGCATTCGTTGTATTACAAGCATTGTGCATCCTGATTAACAATCAAAATACTGCTCATGGGCATTATTTTGAAAAAAATCTGGTTTCAAAAAATCAACTATATATTCAAAATAATGCCCATGCGCGTACTCGAAATAGCACGCACGTATTCAAAATACCACGCAGATGCCCGCTATTTTGAGAATCTACAGTACAATCCAAATCACATTCTAGTAAGAAAGAAGAAAAAAAATTTAAATACTTTCATTCATTTTAGCTCTAATTTTTTATATGATCCAATCTTTATTTGTTAGTTTCCAGTTTGTGTTCCAGTGAAGAAAAGACTAACAAAAGAAAATATTAGCCTAAAGAAAAAAAAAAATCAAATACAATACAGAATCTTGTACTTTCATTCATTTTAGCTCTAATTTTTTATACAAACCAATCTCTACTTGTCAGTTCCCAATTCATGTTCCAGTAAAAAGAAGATCAACGAAAAAAAAGTATTAGCTCTGTTTTAAAAAAAAAAAAAAAATTGAACACATAAGTAAATGAAATTGGTACTTTTTGCTTGACTTAATTTCCTCTATTTGCCAGGTTTTTTGTTTATATTCCAGATAGAGAAATATAATAAAAAAGAGCTTGTTAAACTTATTTAAAGTAAAAAACAAGCAAGATAAAAAAAACTAGTACCAAGTTTCCGATTTCTCACTAATCTAAACTATAATCTCACGTGCTATTTTTTGAAAAAAAAAGCAAGCTAATAAATACTTCTCTTATCTAAATTTCTATTGCAATGTTGCTACTATGTTCAACTAATCTAATCTAAAATAAGTATATTAGAAAAGTTAATTTTAAATGGAAGATCTTTGAATTATAAAGTTTAAAGATTTAGTATTCACAAGTCATTATAGTACCCCTTATAAGAGGATGGCTATAATTTGACTGTCAATTAATATTTACAATTTGACTGCCGATTGTTATTCATATCCGTAATTTGACTGCTAATTACTCTATGAATTATATATATATTGATATTCAGTTGAATTTTTTTTTAGTAAATAAATTCGACTACATATTGGTATCTGATTTTTTTTCTTTTTTAGATCAAATTTTTTAATATATCCAAAGTTGGGTCGATTTTTTTTTTATATAGCCAATTTTGGATTTTTTTTAGATTAATATTTATTTAATATTCAGCTAGTTGATTTTTATATGTTTGACCAGTGATTACCGGTAACTTTTTTTTTGAAATTGAAAATGACAATAGAATTTAACAAATATTAATATACAGTAAGTGTTCATTATTAAATCTGTAGTAAAATACTTGCAGAGTTAATTTTCTAAAACTGATAATTCTAGCAAAATTGAAGCCAAAAAAAATAATGCTTCATCGATCTATTGGGAATAACAACGTTAGTAAAATTGGAGTCAAAAAGGATGAATTTAAAGTAATTATTGAATCACTAAAAAGAAAATATCAATTGAATTAGTATTAATTTATTTTCTAAAATAGAAAATCTTGGTAAAACTAGTGTCAAAAAGATGAAATAAGGCATTAATTAAATGGTGTATTGGTGTTGAAAGAGATGAATTGTATTAGGTTTATCATATAAAGCTTCTCTACTAAAACAAGAATTGGAGGTAAAAAATATGATCGAAATAAGGCATTTATTTAAATAAAAGTGCCAATAAAATTGAAGATAAAGAATATAAAGCATTCAATTATTGGTTTATAATAAATATATGATAAATCTCAATAGTAGCAATTGTATGTTAACTTTAATAACGTATTGATCTAAGTATTTATCAAAAGTTTTATTGCTATTGGTAGCTATTTTGCAAATTTTATAACCTAAAATCAGAATATCAAACGGTTTATATAATTACCTTATATGGGTGCGCGTTATTTTGAGACGCGCATGAGCATTATTTCAAGACTATATATAGAATTTCGGGGATGTACGATTTTCGAATTAATGCTCATGAGCGTTATTACGCGAAAATACGGTACTAATGATATAAATATTTAAAATCTTGAAGGTAATTACTCTGGCAAAAAAATTATAGTGATATGGCACATTTTTCATATAAGTAGTAGTGCTATATACTGTATAAATACTATAAGTAGTATAAATGCCATATGCTATATAAATGCTATATACTATATAAATAAATATATAAATTAAGCTTTGACTTAAGTCAAATAAAAATTTATTAAGTTTTTATAGATTTATTTTGCTTTTCAGAAGAAGGCAATTCTTATAGACTATAATTTTCTACTGATAATACTATTAGGTTTTTAAATTTTAAAATAATACTGTATTCTATTAAAAATAATATTAATTTAGATAGTTCTATTTTATAATATGCAAATCATAGTATATAGTTTAAGACATTGCATTCCAAAATTTAGAAAGCATTTTATATATAAGTGTTACCAAAAGAAAACCCAACAATTTAAATATAGTTTATATTTAAATTGTCAGATTTTTTTTTTTTGTTGATACTTATATATCCTTGTGTTGGACTGAGATTATAAAGTAGATCTATAGAAGTAAATTTCAGTAGAAAGAATTGAAATTTGCAAGTAATGCTAAAAAGTTATAAGTATATTTTTGTTTGACTTGTAATTTAATACTGTAATTTTTTGTAAAATAGCAACTACTAGTAATAATATGAGTATTAAATTATTAAAAAATAAGTTAATCACTATATTTAATATATGTATTAAAACAAATTTTTGCATTACTCTCTCCGACAATCACTTGTACCAAAATTTTGGCTAATGGAAAAACTCAACCTTTGTTGGAGAGACATGGCCTTACGTTGCGGTTTGTCTAGAGATTAACTATCTGTGGGGACTCCTCTAAAAAGACGTTCGGCATGCAAGCCAAGAGTGTTATTATACAAAATAACTGGCAGGCAGTGTCCTTGTATAAAAAATTTTGGTGAAGGGAAAAACTTCTACTTTGTCGACGAAGCACTAGGGCTGTTATTTCAAAGAACACAGGGGAAACTACAAAAGTTCTGTACTTCCAACACTCTCTTTAGAAATTTTGAAAGTACTTGTTACCACTACCTTCTACCAAATTTCCACAGTTTTGGATTTTTTTTAAGAATTTCGGCCAAAAAGTGGGAAAACCGGTATACCCTCTTCAAAAGATTAGCAATGTTTACTCCTTCCAAATTAGGACGCGTCTACCGAAATAGAACCTTCCACAAGCTTATTTGGATTCTGCTTTCCCAAATAAACAATGACGGCGGTATTGTTTACACTATAGGGGATCGGAGAGATTACATATATAAATTTCTTATCCATTAAATTGTAACACAGGCAAATTTGCCTGTGAAGATTTTTACTAATTTTTTTAATATTTAAATTTTTTAATAAAATT